TACATATTCTCCCTATATATGCATGCATGCTCAGATGTTCGGTCATGTCTGATTCTTTGCAACTCCATGGACTGTAGCCCTCCAGGCTGCTCTGTCCAGGGGATGGGATTCTCCAGGCAAGAATACTGGAGTGGGTTGCCCTGCTCTCTTCCAGGGGGTCGAACCCGAATCTCCTGCATTGCAGCAGACTCTTTACTGCTGAGCGCCACCAGGGAAGCTCCCCCACTGGGGCATCATCCTCCCCATTTAACAAATGAGGAAACTGAGGCAGAAAAGTGAGGCTATATGCAGGGGGTGGGGCAGGGAGCTCTTAGCCCTCATGCGCTGAGGCCCCTCACTGTCTGCCCCATCCTTGCCCCCTCTTGCAGCTCTCCATACAGGGGCCACAGCTGAGCATCCTGCTGTCCCCAGAGTCCACCAGTGCCCCAGAGCTCGGTCCAGGTTGTTGAACCAAACCAGATCAAAGTTTCTGCCCAGCCACTACAAAAGGTGTCCCCATGCTGTGGGCTCTGCTATTCTCTGCATGTTCCAAAGATCCCTCCGCTGGGTGGAGAGGACAGAAGTCACATGCAGTGAGGGATTTTGCCCCCTCTGTCCCCTCTAATATCACAAGGAGCTCAGCCCTCTTCTCTTTCTTGCTCTGTCTGAATGTTTCCAGTGACAGGGGCTCAACTCTCCCCCGATGCCCTTTCAGCTTCTTGGTCCAGACGATGAAGGTGATAATATCCACCTAAAGAACTACTGTGAGACTGGAAATATTACAGTAAGTGCAAGAAGCTGATCACCAATATGACCTACTAGGTGATTCCATTCACTAAAATGTCCAAACCAGGCAAATCTAGAGATAGAAAGTAGATTCATGGTTATCTGTTCCTGGGGTAGGTATCGGGTAAGGGCTCTCAGGGGGTAAGAGGTATCGAGGGGTAAGAGCTAAAGGGCACACGCTTCTATTTGAGATGATAAAACATTCTAAAAACTGACTGTGGTGATAGTTGCACATATCCGTGAATAGCCCACAACCCATCAGCTTGTGCTGGAGCAGGCACTGGCACCCCACTCCAGTACTCTTGCCTGGAAAATCCCATGGACGGAGGAGCCTGGTAGGCTCCAGTCCATGGGGTCGCGTAGAGTCGGACATGACTGAGCAACTTCACTTTCACTTTTCACTCTTCATGCCTTGGAGAAGGAAAAGGCAACCCACTCCAGTGTTCTTGCCTGGAGAATCCCAGGGACGGTCGAGCCTGGTGGGCTGCCGTCTATGGGGTCGCACAGAGTCGGACACGACTGAAGCGACTCAGCAGCAGCAGCAGCTTGTACATTTTGTGTGTGTGTATGTATGTGTCAGTCACTCAGTTGTGTCTCTTTGCAACCCCATGGACTATAGTCTGCCAGGCTCCTCTGTCTATGGAATTCTCCAGACAATAATTCTGGAGTGGGTTGCCATTCCCTTTTCCAGGGGATCTTCCCAGCTCAGGGATCAAACCCACGTCTCCTGCACTGCAGGCAGATTCTTTAAACGGGTGAATTGTAGATTATGTGGACTATGTCTCAAGAGGGCTACTGTTTAAGAAACAGGAGAAGAATTGCTGGGCACACTGACACGTGCTCACGATACCCGCGGCAGGAACAGAAGCCCAGGGAAACAAGGGGTGTCTGCAGAGGCTGTGTCTGCAGAGGCGTGAGGTGATCAGATTGAGATGAGCATGCATCCTGAGGAGGGAGACAACCTGAAGCCCAGCGCCACGTTCATGAACTTGTTGCATCTGCCCGGAAGTCAGCAGGGTGGACTGGAATCCCACGGGGACCCACCCTGACCGCTCCCTCCTTAGCCGCACCAGACACTGCCGCAGGCCTGCATGCTGGGTTTTGCAACCCTGCCAAGCATCCTCCAGGAGTTGCTGTGAGTCCTGGCTGTACTGCCAGACTGTGGGCTCCCAGGGTTCAGAGACAGTTGCATCCTTGGGTCCTGGAGCCTTCATCCCTTGCCTCTCCCTCCTCCTCTGTTCCCTGCCACCACCCCCGATGGGCCCCACCTCTCTTCACACAGGTGCTTGGAACCAACTCTTTCTGCAACCTTCAATTTCTCACACATGGAGACAGCCTTTCTGAAATCCATCGCTGTGTCCCGACCTTTATCTCTACAGCCACCTGTCCTGGGCACGTCTTACAGATGCAGCTCGCTTTACTTGTAGCCCCAACAGATAAGGACCACAGTGCTCAGAGCAGATGGAGAGGCAATGTGCCAGGTACATGGATGCACCTCATTTTAAGTATAAAAAGACTTTGTAAGAATGTCTATGTGTGTATAACTGGGTCACTTTGCTGTACTGCAGAGATTGGTGCAACACTGCAAACCAACTACAATTCAATTTTTAAACAGGAAGAAAAAAAGAAGATAAGAGCTAATCAATTATTGTGTAGGAGAGGGCAGAGAAGTAACCAATGACTCTTTTCCTAAGCTCTCTTTGCTTTAAAAAAAAAAAAAAAAAACAGAAACAAAAGAAAGAAAAAAAGGGGGGAGCACTACGTAAAAATCTGATCTCATAAAAGGAGTAGATTTGGGAGTGACTATTCACACACACAAAGAAAGCATCACCGTGACAAGCAACTGGGACAATACCTCTAACCAGCATTCTGAACGCACTCAATAAACGTGGCTATTAGTCCTACTGTCGTCATTGACATGATTTTGTGTTAATAACAGTGCCATGATTTTGTGTTAAAAACACTTCTCTGGGCTTGACACAGGCCATAAACCAGGAAAAAAACTTCCCATCACCACTGCAGTCTTTCAAGAGACCAGAAACAGAACAGAAATAGGACCTTGGTAATTAACAGGATGAAACAGCTACTCATGGGTTTTCCTGTCACTGAGCATCGGGGTTGGCATGAGATGTCCTGCTGCTGCCACTTCTTCCAGAAGAAACCAGTCTCTACTCAGCAAATAGAGGATCTGGATGAGTAATTCATCCTTCCTGCTGATTTTTTATGATAGCCAACGGTTTTTGTTCCCAAAAAAGTCTTCACTTTCTCATACACAGTAGGTGAGACAGAATGTCTTCTGCTCAAAGAAATGTTTCACAGCCCATACCAAGACCCAAAAACTTCTCTGGAAAACCTCAGTGTGCAGAATTCCACAGGCTGGCTCTTTGTCAGAGCTGCAGACTTCCAAGACCAACACAGAACCCAGGGCAGAGCTAAGTCAAACCTGTCTTTCCAGCTGGGATTCCAAGGAAAACCTCAGTCCCTGCTTCAGCTAAAGGCACTTCCCTTGGCACTGTGGCCTCCAAGGAAAACCTCAGTCCCTGCTTCAGCTAAAGGCACTTCCCTTGGCACTGTGGCCTCCTAGTGTACTTTTGAGATGATTAGGCTCTCGCTTCTTCAATAAACCACAGCTCATTTACAGGGGTAGACAGTGCTTTGCAAACCGCTTTCAGGCAACATCTCCCAGCTCCTTCCCTGAGAGGCAGACAGGATTCTCATTTTACTGATGAGGAAACTGGGACTCAGAAAGGCAAGGGTAACAGAGCTGAGTTATTAAGCCATGCCCTCAGAGTCAGCGACACTTCCATCATCCACATGCCTCACCTGAAAAGTTCTGTTATCATGGAGCAACTTGCTGAGTGTCTAAACAGCCACACCATTTTCTGAGCACCTACTACATGCTCTCTCGACGTTGCCTCTTTTATTCCATCTCTGCCTGATGTCTAGTGGACATCTCAGATGTAATACATCCACAGGAGGAGCCCTGATTCTGCATTCCCACCCCTATTCCTCCCTCTGTCTTCCTAGTCTTGGGACATGGCAGCACCACCCACCCATTGACTGGGACCCCAATGCTCAGAGTCTCCCTGGAAGGAGGGAAAGAAAGAGGAGGGAAGAGAGAGGAAGAGCAGGGCAGGGGAGGGAGAGATGAAGGAAGGAGGAGGGGAGGGTGGGAGAAAGAAAAGACGGAAGGAGGGAGAGTGGGGGAGGAAGAGAGAAAGGAAAGAAGGGAGGAGGGTGGATGGGAAAGGGAGGGGAAGGGAAGGGTTGGATGAGGGGAGAAGAAGAAGAAGGGAGGAAAGAAGGACAGAAGGATGGAGGAGGAAGGAAGTGAGGGAAAGACCAAGGGAAGATTCTGCCACTACAGAGAAGCATACATCAAAAGCCTGTGTGTGATATTTTTGAGCCTAAGTCAACAGCCTCAAAGCAACATTCCATTCTTTTTGCCTGTTTCTTTGCTATGGCGCTGGATTCACTGCCGTTTATAGGGTCACAAAACCATGAGCCTCCCTGAAACAACCACTTTCAGAGTAGGAATTTGGGCCACCCTGGAGTTGTCTGCAGTTTTTCCAAAGGCAAGATGTACTAGACACAGTCCCTGAGCCTAAGAAACCTCAAATCTCATCTGGATGACCAGGCTCATATCCAACTAGTCATAAGACAAGGCAGAAATTCACAAGGGCCAAAAGAGCTCTACACAGAGCCATGGTGACCCATGGGATTGTGGCGTAATTCCTGCCAGGTGTGTGGAGAAGGTGGCGTTGGGGCCAGATCTTTGAAGGAACGACACACCGTGATGGGAACGTAAAGCTTTTGAGACTGGAGCACAGAATGAGGACAAAGGAGAGGCTAAAACTAAAGAGTCACCTGGGGCCGGGTCAGAGAGGGCCTTGAACGCCAGGATAGGGAGTGTGGCCTCCGTCACGGGATCAGTGGAACCGTGACAGGGCTTTAAACAAGGAAAGAAAGATGTGAATAGGTTTGTGTAACCGTAGTTTCTACGTCGGAATATAAGGCAAGAGCCTGAAGGCGGAGGGAGAGAGAAAAGAAGTGAAGGTTGGGGGTGGGGAGCGCAGAAAGATGGACAGGAAGACGGAGGCAGAAAAGACTAAAGGAGGGAGGCGGAAGGGCTCGAGGGCGCAGAGATACTGCGGGGCTGCAGCTAGCGGGCGAGCAGGCTGGTTTCGCGGTGCGCTCGGGCGCCCGCCCGCCTGTTCGCGGCGTCGGGGACTCACCGCGGAGCCAGCGCGCGCCGGCGTACGGGTCCTTGGGTCGGATGAGGCGGCGGTGCGCGGCGCTGCGGCGCACGTACCACAGCATCCAGAGCAGCTGCAGCAGCATGAGCGCCGTGAGGAAGCAGAGCAGGTCCCTCTTCCCCACGCCCGTGGCGTGCACGGCCCAGGCCAACAGGAACAGCAGCCCCGCCACGAACACGTTCAGCGCGTACTGGCTGCTCAGGGCCTCGGCCAGCTTCTGCGGGAAGCTGGCGCGGACGGCGCCCCGCCGAGGGGCCGGGAACCCCGGGGACCCCGGGGCCAGGAACGGTGGCGGCGGGCGGGCCGCGGGCCAGGACAAACCCCTTTCCGAGTCGCTCGGAGCCGCCAGGGGAGCGGCAGGCGCCCCTTGGCCCTCCGGCATCGTTGGGTGACCCTCACCTAGTCTCGTCTCGGGGACGGCTGCGACCTGCGCCCCACCTGCTGCCCCTGTCCTCCCCTGCCCTAGCCCCGAGGGGCCTCGGCCGATCAGCCCCCCTGTCCTGATCACCCGCTGACACCTGGTCTCCCACCTTCTGCCTCCCTGCCCTCTGTCAAGGCGCTCACCCAATCCACTTACCGCGTCCCCACCCCGCTGACCCCGGCTTCTTGGAGATCCGCTATGCTCCAAGTGCACACTGCCCACTTCCCCTCCCTCCGCAAGGTCCGGGGCAACCCTTCCCAGCACCCTGGACCCACGCGGGCCGCCCCCTCACCCGCCCCCGATGCCTCTGCGGGGCTCCTGCCCTGCCGCGAGGGCCGCGCGTCCTCCCGCTCCCCAGCCCAGCGTGTCCAAACCCGCCCGCTGTGCGCTGCTCTGTCGTCCCCTGAGCCGACGCCGGCTGACCCAGCCCTGCTCGGGCGACAGGCGGCTCCCGGAGCTGTGGTGCGGGGGAGCGAGGGGTCGTCCAGAGCCGGCCGGAGAGGATGGGCACAGGGGCGTGGCAGCTCGGGAACCGCGAGCCCCGAGGGTGCGTGCGCGGCTCCGGTGCCGCCGCGTCTGCGTGGCGGCCCGCGGAAGTCTAGGTGAGCCGGCAGGTGTCCGTGTGCGTGAGTCTGCCTGTCATTTTGAACCAGGGGACCCACATTTTCATTTTCCAGTGGATCCAGCAAATTGCATGGCTGGTTCCGACTGCCAGAGGGTCCTGGCTGCAGGGAGCCCGGGGCTGGGAGTCAACCTGAGGACTCCGCCATCATTCATGTTTTCACTTTGTTCATTTACTTATGTGGTGTATACTCATTTATCCTTCACTGAATTAGTTGCCGGACCCTGCTGTAAGTGTGGGGGATTCAGCTCTGAAAGAGTATCGTAATGGAACTCACCTTCTAGTGGAGACACCCTCGTGGGACAAGTACTTAACTGTCTGGAAAGGGGGGGAGAATCTCACGTGAGACTCAGCCCTGTCTTGCAGGAGCCCATGACCCAGGGCTGTCTGGATGGGGAGGGCTGGAGGAGCCCTGAGTCTGCCAAGCCAGGTGAGAGGTTCCCACCTGAACAGTCTTGGGAGAAGTAGGAGTTGGCCAGGTGACGTGGGAGGGCAAGAGAGGGGGTTGCAGAGAGAGACTGAAGCACATGTACAGAAATGAGTGCAAAAAGGCAGGGACTGACCATCAGGGACCGTGTCTATCCGTCCGAAGCTTAGAGTGTTCCCTTCACCTGGGTGTCCCCAGAGCTAAGCCAAGTGGCTGTCAGTAAATAAACCAAGGAGTTAGTGAATGCACACGTGGATGGAGGCTGTATGACTGAATAAGTAAGCCAGGCGTCATCTTCTCATCAGACTAATGGGGGGAGTGGGATCCAATGAGTACTCCCCACTGTGCTCCAGCCCCTGACCTTGCTTTGTTTTCCTTCTTTGTATCGTGTTACCTGGAATGTGTGTATTTATGGGATCTGTCTCTCCCATTGTAATGAAAGCTCTATGCGAAGGCATGGCCTGTCTCATCCACTGCTGTATCTCCATCACATAGAACAGTGGTATCCAGCACATGGTAGGTGCTCAATCGATACCTATTGAATTCTCTCACCCCACAAAAGATGTTGAAGTACCATGGACGGTAGCCCACCCAACTCCTATGTCCATGAAATCCTCCAGGCAAGAATACTGGAGTGGGTAGCCATTCCCTTCTCCAGTGGATCTTCCCAACCCCAGGATCAAACCTGCATTGCAGGCAGATTCTTTACCTTCTGAGCCTCCAGAGAAGCCCTGAAGTACCTGTGAATGGAAACTTGTTTGGAAATAAAGGCTTTGCAAATGATCAAGTTAAGGTAATAGGGTGGGTCCCATTCAGTAGGACTGCATCTTTATTTTAAAAAGTAAACTTTGAAGATAGACACCTATGGAGGGAGGAGGATGTGAAGATACAGAAAGAATGCCATCTACAAGTCAAGGGTTATTTGAGGCTACCAGAAGCTAGGAGGGGCCTGGAACAGATTTTTCTCTCTCAGCCCTCAGAGGGAACCAACTCTGTCGACACCTTGATCTTGGACTTCTAGTCTTGAGAATTGTGGACTATAAATTTCTGTTGTTTAAGTCATCCAGTGTGGTCTTTGTTAGAACAGTCGTGGAAAAATAAAACATCCAGCGTATTCCTTCTGTGGTCCCCTGGGGACCTATCTACCCCTCCATTCCTCTTTCCCACGTGGCATAATCTATCTTTTAACTGTCTTTCCTATTCTGAACTCCCTAAAGGCAAGAACTGGGCTTCCCTGATGGCCTCGTGGGTAAAGAATCAGCCTGCAATGCAGGAGATACAGGAGAGGCAAGTTCAGTCCCTGGGTTGGGAAGATCCCCTGGAGGAGGAAATGGCAACCCACTCCAGTATTCTTGCGTGGGAAATCCCATGGACAGAGGAGCCCGGCAGACTACAGTCTGAAGGGTTGCAGAGTCAGACATGACCAAGTAACTAAACACAACACACACACACACACACAAGCAAGATCTACATTTGGTTCATTCAGCTTTCTTTATAGTCCCACTCTCACATCCACACATTGAAGAAGGAATTCATAGGGCCTGGACTCCATCTCAGGCCTGTCCATGCTGATCATACTCGGCCACCTCTCCAGTGGACTCTGAGCTCTGTGATTAGCACCTATGGGAACAACAGTGGAAGGATAAGACCCCCCCTCTGGGCAGGGGAATCTTGAAGATCATATCCAGGTTGCTCATCACCTAAGAGAAAACATACCCTAATCACCCCTGCCTCCAGACAGGTCACAAATTTTTTCCATATCTATCAGAATGTAACCACAGACTTATTATTAACTGTTTGAACACTCAAGGAATTTAGGGTGGTGGGTTTGGACACGTACACATTGGGTATAAAAGATTTTCACAAATGCTGGTCGGGGTCCTTGGCTAAGAGGAAACTCTGCCTTGGGCCCGCTGGTGTAATAAACTGCACTCCACTATCTGCATTGTCCTTCTGAGTGAGTTTGTTTCCTGGAACACATGGCTACAACAAAGGATTTACACATGTAAATAAAAATAAATAAAAATCTTAATAAATAAATAAAAATAAATAAAAATCTTAAATAAAAATCTTATTAATTTATAGACAGTTTGGAGAATGTAAGAATACCAATCACCACATTTATAGTTTAGTTTATGTGATTTTAAAAGAACTAGAGCTCTTGGGAAGGTCAGATAATTAAAGTTCTTAAAATAAAATAAATTAAAATGAATATAACATTAAGTATTTAAGCATTTAAGATTGCAAAGGGGACCAAAAATTCATACATATTTAAAATGATTATTTAAATGTTGCTTAACTTAGAAATAAGATTTACAAACTGAACTTAAAAACTTAAGAAATTATTAGGCTTTTAATCTTAATTTTAGTAGATTATTAATTTTAAAAAAAATAAAAGGAAACTTCTAAAAGGTCTTTTCTGAGTTTTTTAAATGTGTTTTCACACATGCATACACATACATACAGAGATACAAATGCCCTTCAGTTCAGTTCAGTAGCTTGGTGGTGTCCGACTCTGTGAGAGTACGCCTGGCTTCCCTATAAACCGAGCATTTAAGCATTTCACTAGCGCCCTCTAGTGTCTAAATAGAGAAATAGCACAGGTAAACAAAACATTTTCACTTGGTAAAAAGCCTCTAGTTCAATTTAGTCACTCTGTCGTGTCTGACTCTTTGCGACCCCATGGACTGCAACACACTAGGCCTCCTGTCCATCACCAACTCCCGGAACTTGCTCAAACTCATGTCCATCGAGTCAGTGATGCCATCCAACCGTCTTATCCTCTGTCGTCCCCTTCTCCTCCTGCCTTCAATCTTTCCCAGCATCAGGCTCTTTTCCAATGAGTCAGTTCTTCATATCAGGTGGCCAAAGTATTGGAGCTTCAGCTTCAGCATCAGTTCTTCCAATGAATACTCAGGACTGATTTCCTTTACGATTGACTGGTTTGATCTCCTTGGAGTCTAAGGGACTCTCAAGAGTCTTCTCCAACACCACAGTTCAAAAGTACCCATTTTTCAGCACTCAGCTTTCTTTATAGTCCAACTCTCACATCGATATGTGACTACTGGAAAAACCATAGCCTTGACTAGACAGACCTTTGTCAGCAAAGTAATGTCTCTGCTTTTTAATATGCTGTCTAGGTTGGTCATAGCTTTTCTTCCACAGAGCAAGCATCTTTTAATTTCATGACTGCAGTCACCATCTGCGGTGATTTTGGAGCTCAAGAAAATAAAGTCTCTCACTGTTTCCACTGTTTCCCCATCTATTTGCCATGAAGTGATGGGATCGGATGCCATGATCTTAGTTTTCTGAATGTTGAGTTTTAAGCCAACTTTTTCAGTCTCCTCTTTCACTTTCATCAAGACGCCCTTTAGTTCTTCTTCACTTTCTACCATAAGGGTGGTGTCATCTGCATATCTGAGGTTATTGATATTTCTCCCGGCAATCTT